GGCGGTGTATGAAATAACGGAAAATGAGGATAAGCATGCAATGTTAACAATATTACTGAAAATCTTGGTTTACACAAGATGAAACACACCCTTTAAGTTTGGTTTAATCGTGGCTTATAGGTCCTTAATGGTGGTTTAATGGTTGCTCTTGATATTTGTATGAACATATTAATTATTTATTTTGCACAAAGTTTGTTTTGGACTTGTAAAAGTATTTATTTTGTTGAATTGATTTATTAATCAAACTATAAACATTTTTATTTATGGATCTTTTTAAAAGGCTTATATTACATAAATATTTCTAAACCGTTGAACCGTTGAGCTTTTAAATTGTAATAAATTCTTCGCTCTGTTATTCGAAGATTTGTACGTTTAAGCATTAAATCGTGATTGAAATTAAATGAATTATAGATAAAACACAAAAAAATCTGTCATCGGGAAACAAAGATGAATTTTTTTAAATAATAATAATAATAATAATAATAATAATAATAATAAATATTCTGCGGATATTAACGTTTTTTGTGTCTAAGATTTAGGCCTAGTGACAATCCTCATTTACGAGTTACCTGGTTATGTTTACAAAAACTTTTTTTTCGAAAATCATATTCAGTTAAAATTCTTTTTGTATGATAATGGGTATCAAAATAATTGTCATTTTACAATGAATCATAATTTTAATTTGTTATATTCTTGCGTAAAATTTAAATTTTGTAAAAATAATTGATCATCAAAATCTGTTAGTGTACGTTGTGAATGTATAGTTTCCTGTTAGTTGACCGGGGACGGTGGACACCTAATTAAGATCTATTGTTAAATCAAAAGGTACTGTACACTGTTAATTTTACCCCGTTTCCCAATGTGTATAAATCAGGTCGGATGTCATGTTTAATCTGATCGGCTGTTCTTCTGAAAATCGATGTTGAAATTACAATGATTGAAGACCGACTAGATTTTGACAGATACTTACCGCTGCATTATATAAGAAAAAAATAACGAATTAATTCAAATTATTCATGATGTAAAAATCAAACTTTGAACTAAACATGTTTTATATACCTGTGGTCCAAGCTCGCCCCCCCCCCCCCCAAAAAAAAAAAACAAAACGACAGATTTTTTTTTCTCATGAGAACACGACTTTATATCCCTGGGAAATATGTAGCGGAATATGTTGTTTTCAACACATGAAATAAAAATACCATCTCTTAAAAAAAAGTAATATATATTTTGTGTTTATGGATAAAGATGATTTTAAGAACAGATTGATTTTCGGTAGTGAGAAATTAAGATATTTCACAGAGGGTTAGCCCCGGCGTGTAATAATATAATTATTCATTTTTTAAAACAAAAATCATATACACAAATACTAAAAACAACGTATGTAATAATTATTTATTTAAAAAAAATCATATGCGGTAATAAGATAAAACATCTTTAATTTTTATTGATACTGTAAATAATTTAAAAAAAATTTAGAAACCGGGAGCAAGGCCCTGTTAGCTTACTTTATTCTCAGTGCCCGAGATTTTGCATGTTGACAGAAATGTGATATGAAAATGACGATCGAGACAAAATTATAAATCACAAAAAAAATCAGATTTTGCGTAAATGACATTGAAATAACTTAAAAAGTTAGATCAAAGATTCGATATAAAATGCGTAAAACGTAAAAGTTCAATGAGGTTTGACCATTAAGTCACCATTAAGCTCGGCTTAAAGGTGGCTTAATGGTAGCTAAATGAAGTTTAGACATAAAGCACCTGTAAGTTGCAGCTTAATGGTGGCTTAATGGTGGCTTAATGGAGTTAACTTCTTTAAGCACCTTTACGTCACCATTAAGCTACCATTAAGCGATTGCTTAAAGGTGGTCTTTCGTCTTGGTTTATGCGCAGGCTGGCACAAGTTTTCCAATCATTTCTATGTTTGAGAATCTAGGGTTTTTTAATTATACTGTTAACATTTTTGAGAGGAATGCACTGTATGTCATAGTCCAAATACATGTTTTTTTTTCCTGTTTAAGCATTGTGAGATATGAAATAAAAAACAAGGAAGGAACTACTACTTAATATATGTACATACATGTGTCTTTCCAAACAGATTGATGAAGAAAATGTTCGAAAATTAAAAACAATAAAACATGTTTCATTAATTCGAATCACTTAATGATGTAGTCACGTGTTTCTTTCTTATGATTTAATCTTTCTTTTTTAATCCCTACATTTGCTCTGTTTTACTTAATTTTCGAAAGGGGTGTTATAAGTTTTGCTGCTCAAGAGGTTTGAAGACTTCACAGTTCTTTAAGGAAATCCCTTTCTACAAAACAGCCTTATTTTGACCCCTCGTAAATAGGTGATTTTTTTTTAAACAAAGTTTTTGCATTATAGATTCTGAGCCTCTTTTGTATGGAGAATTTTGTCTTCTTACATGCTGATTTTCTGTTTTCTCTGACAGTGTTACCAATCACATTATTGTATCATCATATACGGATGTATTTCAATATCATCTTACAAGAAAATTGATATTGAAATACATTGGTATGGCAATACCATGAATTTCAATAGCATCTTACTAGAAAGATAATGACATTACCCGCGATGTTTGTATCATTTTGCAATTTTAGTGACTGACCTACAAACCCATTAGTGAAATAAAAACAAAATACTCGCATTTTGGGTGATTTTGGTATGAATACTCAGTATATGGCTTATCAATAGACCTTTCTGATGCCGTTCAGAAAATAAAGTTTAACTTGATTTTATATGGGAAAATAAATTTTTACAGGGCAAATAAGACGTATTTTAAGCATGAAACGCAATACATTTTAAGCAGGGATCGCGCGTTTCTTGTGTAGAATGTTTAAAAAAAATAATCTAGAATTTTCAATTTCCTCAAAGAACAAGTGCATTCAATATCATTTTTGACGTTATATGCGATTTTGCATTAAATGGTTGCAAGTAAACGAGAGCAATAGTTTTACAGAAGAAAAATCCGTAACGCTATTAATTAAAAATGTGCATATGGATTTAAACATAAAACTCACTCTTTAACAAGGAAGTTTAATAAGAAATAAATTGTATAGAAAAATTTTGCTAAATTTATAAGTTTGAAATATTTCATTTATTTTGATATCAAACCGCATGCTTTGTAGCCACTAGATGGATGGAGATGGATTACAAGAAATAGTTTAGACATTCTTCGAATTATTTCTGTTATAATAGAGTCGCCGACGAGGCGTAGTGGTTAAGCGTTTATAGAGTAACGGAGTAAGAAGTTTGTTCCTTAAGCGGGAGGTTTGAATCCAATTGTGGGACTTATACAGGACTTATACTTTCATACGAGTCCGTATAAACCGAGGTGCCGCGTTACAGTAAGTGCTCGTATGCAAACTATATAGCATCATTCTCCCCTCTCGAAAAGTGGGAAGTTATATACAGTGATCGGGATGTCCATCTGTCTTTCACGCTTTGGGTTACCCATCTCTTATCCACAACTCCTCTTATACCGCTGAATGAGCATCGTCATAAGCTACCATACGGGAGTATCGATAATTATCAAATACTTCTTGTTTCTTTTCACAAATCAACAGTCAGAAAGATAAACTATGAAAGACCCAGAAGTCTCTGTCAAAACTGTAGTTCTACTGGTTTATACTAATATAACGATGTAAAAGAGGAGTAGCAATTGGAACTTGAAAATATAATGCCGCAGCAAATAAAGTTATGATTTTTATTAAGTCACTTTCTGTGGCAATATTACAATAAGACTGCAGTAGTTTTTAGTAAATGTTTACAAAATTATCAATTTTAGTTACCATGGTAACATCATTCATAAAATTAAATAAAAAAAGAATAAAGTCAATAATGTATTGAATTGTAGTGTAGTCTACCTACATGCCACATTTTATTATAATGAGACTGAAACTTTTTTTTGAATAGCATTTTTAAAGTAATTTACAGAAATTAATATTTTTAGTTACCACGGCAACACAGTTAATTAAAATCAAAAACCGACACAGAGAATTATGTATCTTAGTCTAGACCACTTGTGTGCGAAGTTATATTAAAATTTGACCCAAAACTGTAGGAGGAGTAACATTTTGAAAGCATTTCAAAGAAATTTCTATTTTTAGTAACAACGGCAATGCCGTTCATGGAAATCAGAAATCAATGTACAGAATTATGTATCTTTTTGTAGTCTTCATGCGTGCCAAGTTATATTAAAATCACGCCAAGACTGTAGGAGGAGTAGCCTTTTGAAAGCATTTCATTATTTTTTTATTTCTAGTAACCATAGCAACACCATTCATCAAAATCAAAAAAAAAAAACAATACACAGAATTATGTATCTTTGAATAATCTACTTGTATGCCAAGTTATATTAAAATCAGACCAAAAAAAGTAAGAGGGGTAGGATTTTGAAAAATTACAGACAGACAGACAGCTAGACAGACAGACGGACGGACGACAGATGCATAACTGTAGCATAAGCTCTTCAAGTCTCTGACCAGTAGAGGTAAAATGGTATAGATAACTTTAAAGTGAAGCGGTAACCCAACCACGTGGCTCTAAGGATGAAGTTTCATCTGATATATATTCACATTTAATGCATTTTGTTTTTTTTTTAATCTATAAATTCATTTATCATGAATGTAATATTTTCATAACAGAAATAAACAGTCAAATCCCTCTAGATGAATTGAGGAATATTATGTTATATATAATCAATTGATTCATTAATGCACTAATCTAGCTATTAAAACATTCAGGTAGACACCAATCGTGTTTGAATCAAATGACATTGTTTTAATACTGATAGAAAATAAGATTTTTCCCTTTTATTTGAACATCATTTGTATATATTTCAGGGAAAGGTACTGTTGTATTGTACATTTATTACAGAAAATGTGTATCATACATATTATACATCAGAATGGAAAATATTTTTGTATGTCATTCTGAACATTTCACAGGTTTTTATTCTTTTCGTAAGTAGTATTTAACCACAAATACATTTACAATGTACCGATCACAAATTAAATCTTGACACTCCTAAGTTACTCCACAGTTATTTCTAGTTGTTACTTGTTTCATATGAAAAGTTACAATTCGCTCTCTTCAAGATTAGTCTACCAGTTCTTTGTAAAGGGCCTGAAGCATATCTCTTTTTAGAATTACTGGCATCACATGTGTCCTTTGTTGGGGGTGGGGGTGGTGGGTGGGGAGGGGGAGGTGGATTACTCCTTGTGTTTCCTGCAAGTGGTGGATATCCTCCTTTTCCTTCTGTTCACAAAAAAGTAATAAACGTTGTAGTCATGTACAGTTAGACCTATGTTCATCGATGTTTAAAGAAATTACATTTTACAATCGTGAAAAGGGAATTGTATAGATTTATTTGTAACAGTTACTGAGATTTATGGGGGTTTTTGTTTAATCCTCAATTCTACAATGAAAAATAAAATTAAATATCAGTCCTCAGGGGAAGTGACGGTAAAGCAGCATTCAGATATGACGTTTAATGAGTGTATGTTTATATAAGCAGTTTGTATTGTTCATAGGATAAATATATTTAACTGGTATTTAACAAGGGATTTACATTTATTATGCTCGGAAATACGTACGCTTTGGATCAGACATTGTAAAATGTTTGCCGTTTAATTCAGAGCAAATGGTTTGAAAATACCTGTAAAAAAGGAATCGGTATATACATCTATAAAACTTGAAAACTTCAGATAATATGGGATAACAACTAAACATCAACAAAACCCTTGTTTCTAAGGACTTTAAATAAAAACAAGATGTGTTTGTAAAACACTGATGCCCCCGTATGGCACATTGCAAAGATTAAGGTTTTCTTAAATGCAAATTTAATTAATTGGTACCAAAAGTTTGGTATTCTCACTGGAAAACAATTGTGAAATTTGAAGGTACGCTTATGTTAAAGTATTTTAATAAGTACAAAAATCTCCAAGATCAAAAGGTCAATGTAATTAGTATCAAGTGAAAGGTCTTGCCAGATAAAATATACTTATATAGAGCATGAAAGCCCTAGCCCTAACCTTTAGAAGTTATGGTCAACCTTCAATTTCTTAAAAAGTAGGTCAAACTGCAAGGTCAAGGTCAAATGTTTAAAGTTAATTTTATCGAATGAAAGGTCTTGTCATAAGGATCAAATATGTAAAGTATGAACGCACTAGCCCCAAGTCTTCAAAAGTTATGGTCAAGGTTTGCTTTTTTTAAGAAGGTCAATTTCAAAGGTCAAGGTCAAAGTTCTTGGTATCCTATGAAGGGTCTTCTTACAAATATTACAAGTATGAAGTATAAAAGCCCTATTCCTTACCGTTCAAAAGTTATGGAAAAGGTTAAAGTTTTCTAACAAGTACGGAAATCCACAAGGTCAAGGTCAAAGGGTCAAGATTGTTGGTATCCAGTGAAAGGTCTTTCAACAAACATTAAATATGTGAAGTATAAATGTCCTGGTATTTACTGTTCAAAAGATATGGCCAAAGTAAAATTTTAACATTTTCATGTAAAAGTGGGTCGAACTCCAAGGTCAGGGTCAAAAAGTCTAATTGGGTGGTACCCAAAAAAGGTAATACACATATGAACTATGAAAGTCATAGCTCCACTAAATCAACAGTTATGGGCAGGGTTAAAGTTTTTGCGGACAAACAGAGAGACAGACAGACAGCTAGACAGACAGAGAGACAGACGGACACAACAAAAACTATATACCCCCGAAACTTCGTTTCCGGGGGCATCAAAAAATGTGACAGTCTTAGTGCGTTTTTAAAACAGAAATTATGGTTCCATTTCTCTCCAAAAAATTACGACAATTGAGTGATTTTTTCATTGCCTGTAGACAAAATTATACTAGATGATATTCAATAGATTTAATTAACATCTCATTCGATTTTTAAAGTAGTTTTTTTTTTTAACTAAGTGTTATGGCAAGACAAAACGTTTGGCATTTTCAAAGTATAGACAAAAATTAGAATCCTTCAAGTTTTGTTTTCTTGCGTTGAAGACGGCTTTAAACCATAGGTAATAAGAAAGCTGCCAAAAATAATTCGAGCCAAAGGTACTGATTATACAATACACGTTTTCTCAGATAACATGCATCTAAAGAATTCTGTCGTACTTCTTTATCAGCGTTGAGAAAAAAAAATCATCTTATTTTCATGTACAATTAGAAAAGAAATACGAACCTCTCTTGTGTCTAAAGCAAACACCTGTTTTAATCAATGGTTGAAATTCAGCTGTGAGAGTAGTGTGTACTAAGAATAGACCCTCTTTATGCGCTGTGTGTATATTTTACAAGTCTTTCAATACCAATATTATTAAAAATTATTAAAAGCCGGTGTCGACTTACGGGAAAACCTAAAAAAAAAAGAAAAGAAAATAGATTTATTAGGCAGACCTCTTGCACCATTAACTACATTAAGGTATCTACACCTACAGGTGTTCCAAGCGAGAGCAAACACTATATGTACATGTATAACATCTGAATCAGTCTATTTACAGTCAAGAAAAACGATGTTACATGTATATTGTTTTATTCACCCAAACTTTAAAAATAATTTTCAGTATCAATAACGTTTCTTAAAGCTGACATGAATTCATAAAAACGCAACATGTTCATCTATGTACGACTTGTTTCATACAAACTATAGCCGAATTCCGCCATATTTCTTTCAGATACCTTGTCTCATTGTAAGGATATAAGTATACCCCAGTGCGCTCGTTACACTTGAATGATTTTTTGGTTTGGCTATCGACTTGTGCACATCTCCGATGGTCAAGCATATGAGAACACATGAGGAGATCAAGACATTTCAAAACCACAATAAACAACATAATAATCATATTTCTGAATAATTATTGATTTGAATCAAAAGGAAAAAAATGCAAGTTTGGTGAGAAATTTAGATGCACGAGTACGTATTTTTACAGTGCGCCAATTTATGCAGAATAAACTTGAAATAAAAAGCAGTAAAATCTCCAAACACATTTTGTAATTAAATCATTCGAATGGAACAAAACAACCAACGTCTTTGATTTGAAGCCTCTATGCAATTGGTGCATATCGAGAAAACACCTCGAACGCTGTAAACGTACCAATATCTGGTTATAAGGTTATTGCATCGGTTCGAAGTCAAGTGATATACACCATGAATTCCATTTATTGAAATATGCATCACAAAAAAGAAATAAACTCCACAAAGCTCAAGAGTAAACACACTGTCATTACTCCGTATAGACTAACACGTTGATACACTTAGTCTGTGCTGATCAGATTTTGGTCAGGGAAAATATCACAAGTGGAAAGAGAAGTTATTTGGTATTTGCGCGGCTGAAGGGGGGGGGGGGTATAATTGTGCTATAATTGAGAATTGTCTATCTACATGTAGTTCTAATATACATTCTATACAAAGTCATGTATATAGTCTGCAGTTTGTTTGCGTCGCAAAATTCATTTGTCAATTATAACTGATTATTTTGGTACTAATCCTAAATCTAAACCAAGTAATTTGATGTACGGTAATTATTTACTTCAAATCTTAAATGCAATTAACCAGAATACAATTTTTTTATCTGTACATAGATCTATACGTTCTTTAACACACAAACACACGAAGAAATGCCACCCCCTGTTCAGATTGACATTTAGGCATTTGATTTTTTAGCCGGAGGGGGGGAGGTGCAAAAATAATTTACATGACCGTTATCTAAATATTCTTGGAAGACAAACATATCTGTCGAATTCAATTTTGATTTTTTTTTTTCAATATGTCACTCCGACCACAAAGTATGTGCATTTTGAGGAATGTATAAATGTTTTATAATTATGTTGTTATAGAGTCTTTCGAGATTTCACTATCCCTGCCAGACAGACTATCTATTTTTTTTAATATAAAACTAATTTCTAAAGGAGTATTTGGGAGCTAATTTTAAAAGCTAGGGTAGGGATTCTTGACACTGGTTGAATACGGATAATTTTATTTACTCTTTTGCATATTGAACTCTCTCTCTCTCTCTCTCTCTCTCTCTCTCTGTGTGTGTGTGTGTAACCATCCCTTAGGACAATAATAGGTGAAAGATCCTACGCACTTTGTGCTGTACCATTTATTAAGCCTTAGGACAGATCAAGGATTTTTTTAGGCGGGATGTCGAAACTTCATCAATTGAATAATAATTTTAATTGGACAAGACGTTAACTCAAAAGGCCAAATTGAAAGAGAAACTAGAGGTATTGTGAGCAATGAGCTCACTAAATGATACCACCGCCTTCCATATGATTAAAATGGCAAGGTCCACATTTTGCTGTTGTCGCTAAACCCAAAATACGTGTCGGATCAAAAAGTAAAATAGGAGGAGCACAATGATAATATGTAAGATTCTTTGAAAGTTTCATTAAATTTCACTAAGGGGTATATGAGGATTTTCGGATAAGAGATGGATACCCCAAAGCGAACAGACTGACGGACGGACATAACCATTACTTTTCCAGCGGGGGGTATAATAAACGTGAAATATACATCACAGGAAAGGGTACATTGGGAACTTTCTCAAATACCTTTTCAAACGCATTGGCCTCGGAAGCAAATTGAAAGTGGGGGGCTAAGTGCAAAGATTTTTTTTTTACATTCAAAAAATCTGAGAAGCTTAAAAAAAGCGGGAAATGTCCTTTTCCAAAACACTAATATCTTATTTCGTGTAGGGGAAAGGGGGGGGGGGGGGGGGAGGTTCGATTTTCAGTAACAAAATTTTTCTCCAAACACCTACACTTTCCTCTTTTTTAATCTATATAACTTGTCTGTGGAAAGTGGTTGGGGGGGGGGGCTAAACCTACGCAGCAATGTTCAATGTCTATACTAAGTATATATTTGTAAGAAAGCCATCCCCCCCGGTTCCGACACTTATGCTCAAACGTACAAGTCGAACCTGGACCTGGACAACAGACAAGAGAATTTTTAAAAAGCTTATTGTAGGTAAAATGTGGAATTCTCACGGGGGGTTTGCTCTCTCTTTCTATCTGCTTTTCCTAGTAATCATTAATTATTTATGTCTTAAAAATTAATTCACATTAAATTCTTTTTTCATTATCATTGTACCACAGAATCAAACTCGTTTATTATATCCGTCGCAACAAGTTGCGTGGGGTATAATGTTTTGGACCCATCAGTCAGTCTTTTTTTTTGTTTTGTCAGCGCAACTTCTTATAAACCACTGCACAGAGTTTTGTCGAACTTTCGAGAAATATAGGAGTCAATGTGTGTCTAGATTTGCACATCACCATGACATTCTTTATTTTTTCGGGAATTTCCGCACTTTTACATTTAAATTTTTACCATGTCTTGAATATAAAGATGAGTAGTTTGTCAGCGCAATAAACCGCTGCACACAATTTTGTCAAACTTTACAGATATTTAGGACACAATATTATAATCATAGATGTGCATATAACAAAGAAATTACGATTCCTTTATTTTTTTTTTTTTTTGGAATTTCAGCTCTTCGACTTTTGGGGGATCGTGGGGTATGTTTTCATTCATTGTGCATAAAATTATAAATAACTTTAAATCAAATTATTTTAGGTCTAATAAAGGCAATACACAGTATTTATTTGATAGTAATTAATCATTAAGAAATCAATCTGTTTCAGACGTTTTTCTT